AAAACAATATAAATTGTAAAGCATAAAAAAGGTTAAATATCGCACCAAACTAAGATAAAATATCCACAATCAAAAATGAAAGCTTGAGTAGAATATAAAAATTAATTTCTTACAAGTTTAAGGCCCATATGATCTTTATTTTTCTCAAAATCTGCAATGTAATCATGCGCCAAGTGCAAATAATAATTTTACTTTACATTTGTTCATAAATATGATGTTTTTTGTTTGAAACAATTTTTTTAATGCAAATATTGTTTGAAACAAATTTATGATGTATTTTTAATATATACTCTCTCTATTCCTAAAAGAAAGATGTTTTGAAGTTTTTACACATATTAAGAAAACATATTAAATCTTGATAATAAATTTATCATTTTGTGATTAACAGTTTTCTATAAATTTAAACTAATAGTAATTTAATAGATTCAATTAGTTTTCTTGAAATTTACAATTTATCATTATTAACTCATAAAAATGCAAAGAAAACTTAAAATATCTATCTAAATAAATAAAAATCTTAGAAAATCCTTCTTTAAAGAATAGAGGGAGTATATATTATTGAGGTTCCAAGCTTCCATTTGGATAAGAACACCAGAAAATGTCTAGACTCTAGACGCATACAAATCATCATACTTTTTTTTTTGTCAAACACAAATCATCATACAAAACACAATTTTAACTATTACAAAAGGGTTGATTTTGAACGTAAAACTTAACAGCCTAGCCGAGCTCATTTTTACTACACATTTTTGTTTATAATCGACAAAACATTGAACCATATTTGCTTAAAATTTTGTGAGATATACCGGTTTAACAAAGGTGGTGGACAATCGTATTTGTATTTCGAACATACTTTTCTATCTAAATATATGATAATTATGTTTTTTTATGAATGACTCGAAAATTAGTGATTAACTAATGAAGAACAGAGAGTTCTGAGTGGTGGTGATGGTTCAGGAATAATTTCTCACCGGTATTGCTTCGTTTGGTAGGAATTTACTTAAGCAATTAGAATTGGTTATTTTGTAATTTTAATAAATCGATTTTGGATGACTTAGCAGTAACCACACAAACTCTCCCCAAATCGTGTGTTGACAGATGTGAACTGATGAAAGGAATAAATACAAAACTTCTTAAGCCCGCGTAATAAGATTGATAGATGTGAATATGTCGATGGGACTCTATATCGATTTATAAGATAATTAGTTAAGATCATACTCATGAAATGGTAGGTCGGCAAGTGATAATAAAGTTAATGTTTTCTATATTGTGCAGTCACTAATCACTATTAAGCATCTATGAAGCATTTTCGGACTCTTAATTTGACACGATGATCTTCTTCTTTTTGATAAGGACACAGTGATCTATGTAGTTAGTATTCAGAAAGTCAAGTAGTTTTTCTTTTGTAAGATCATACAAATGAATATAGCTCAGTCAATGTCTCTCTCGTAAACAGTATATTTTTAATTTATAAAAAAACACATTTCTTTAAGTTTGGATTAGTTTTTGGTGGGGTTCAATAGTTATATATTATAGTATTAAATTTGATTCACGGGTATGATCAAATAGATTATAGAGAATTGACTTAGACCATCTCCAATATACATTGCTATTTTTTTCCTTATAATAGAGGTAGATCTCTCTCCAATGTGTTTTTCTATTTTTTCTTTAGAATAAAATATTATTAGAATATTCTTTTTCTAATTTATTAGTAACACTTTTTGTTTTTAAAATTCATAAGTTAACCTCATTTATTTTATTTTTTTACAAAATCTTTCATAAAATTATAATAAGATAAAATTAAATATTTCTTATACAAAGAACATCACATTATATCATATAAAACATAATATATTTTAATTTATAAAATTATCTAGGACTAAATTTGAAATGAAAAAAAAATCATATTTAATTATATTATATGTTTTCAAAATTGTATATTATATATTTAGTCATATTATACATTGGATATATGATGATTGTTCACTAAATATATAAAAGTAAGTTATATAATCAATTAATTAAATTTCCATATTTGTTATGCAAATAAAAATAAAAAGATTTAAAAATTGAAGGACTAATTTACAAATATAAAGTTAATTTCTATTATAGAGGAAGAAATATAGTTCATCCAAATATAGAGGAAGAAATATGATTCTCTACTTTAGATGAAAAAATAGAGGTGGATTGGAGAGAATTTTTCTTCAAACTCTATTTTTTCCTCTAAAATAGAGGTAGATTGAAGATGCTCTTATAGATTAGCTTCCTCCCTCTCACCTGTTTCTGTTTTCCAACTATTTTTGGCTGCTAAGTTTTTAATTAGTCATATGCTAATCTGTAATGTCGCGTACATCGCCTCCTTCTCTCTAAGGGATGATGAACTATGTTTATAATTTATATCAATCTAATGTATCCATCTAAGTTTGTAATTAGTCATATGCTAATCTGTAATGTCGTACATCTCCTCCTTCTCTTTAAGGGATGATGAGCTATGTTTATGATTTATATTAATCTAATATATCCATCAGAAGACCCCAAAAAAAAACCATAGAGAAAATACAATGTTTTTTAGTTGATATGATTCACTCACTTGGTCAAGAAAATAAAGTTTGGATTAGTTTCTGATACGGTTCAATGTTTTAAATATATTTAATTCATAATAACACATATTGGTGTGCTATAAAAACAATTTTAAAACACAAAAACCACAGAACTCCTAATGAAAAAAAAGTGTATAAAATATAAGAGTATGTACACCATTAAAAATCAAAATCGTTGACTCGTTGATCCGTATCGTTATCCGACCACTATTTATAAAATAATTCGATTTTTTTTTCGATTTACTGAAGTAATGAAAAAGTCAAAGGGAATTAGTAAATTCAAGAGTGTGTGTATGTATGTGTGTATCCCAATCTCAATTGATAAGTTCATGTCATGTGCTTTCTCCATACCACTTACATTTCAAGCTGTCACCCCAACTTTCTCCAGCTTTCTTTATTTGGCTCATTAATTTCTATAAATAACTTTTTTCCCCACTGTACCCTTTTGATTTTATCTCACTCTGATACACCCAAAGTAGGTAACAAAACTTTGCCACACAATGTTTTTACTTAATTTTTGTAGTTGGTTTTCTAATCCTCGTAATATACGGTAGATCTATTATTTGACAAGTATAGCAAAGACTATAAATGTTGCTTTCGTGGAGATAAATGATATTAATAGACTAATACAGTAGTAAATTGTTTACAAATAATCTAGTATACAATGGTATCAAATTCAAATGAATATATAAAAGACTTGTCCAGCTGTCATATACCTGAGATTAAGAAGTAATGAAATTCGCACTTAACCGATTAATTGTACAACGTGCCACCAATTTCATCCAAGACATCACTGAGACGTGCATTTTAAATTAAGTTAGATTTACATAAGAAACTAATTAATTCGTTTCGTTTAAACTATTTGGCCTAAATTATATCTTCATTATACTAAAATAAATACATAATTAAATAAGCATTAAAAATTTAAAACACAGCAAGATGTTTACGAACAAACTTGGTTAACATTTAGTAGTAGTGACCCACACATTTCCTCATACTTCTTAGTTCAACAAACTTTTATTTAGGTTTACTTAATTTTCCATCCGTATATGATTAATGAATTCTCCAATATACCACATTAATGAATTCTCTAATATACACAACTATTCAAATATGCAGTTCACACGGACACAACAAATCAGAACATTACACGTAAACAAAATGTGGACCCTCAAATTCATTGTCAGCAAGTTGTTCGCAAAAGAGGCCAAGAGGGTAATCTCGGAAATAATTGGTCAAACGAAGGGTAAAATAATAAATTCAAAAGTACGCGGCAAAATTTCAGCCATCAATTTGATAAAAGTCATCGGCGTCTCTTAACTGTCGAAAAAACATTAAAAGCTTCGTTGGGTAGTTGCATCTTCCCCCTCTACATAACTTTTATTTATCCATTTGTTTTTTTTTTTTAAGTTTCAAGTTTTTATATTCATTTTCTTTTTGATGTAAGAAGATTAGAGAGTTGGTGGGTTAAACATATTTTTCACTTGAATTACATGAATCAATTCTAAAATTGAATTCAAAATTACAGTTTTTTAGGATACTTTGTACAAAACTATAATAATAGCTGATGATTAACGAATATACCATTTTGGTTCAATCTTAAAACAATTTCTTTTTGCGTAAAAGAACAATATATCATATTATTATTCATTTACTAGTTTGAACTTGCTGGAGTTATTCTTTTTGTATATTCTATAAAAACATTTTTTTCCTTAAATATTTCCCATTTCCCCTAACTACATTTATTAGCCAAGTCTCTCTCTCTGTCTCTCTCTCAAAAACTTCCCCTTAAATTCTCAAATTTCCTCCAACTTTTCAGGCCATTCTCTTCTCTCACACCCAAAACAAAAAACTTACACTTACACACTTCTCTCCTCTACAAATTTAAGCTTCAATCTTTCTTCATCCTCACCCAAAAAGCTTAAACCTTTCATCAATCTCACCATGACCCATAACCAAAACGAACCTCACCGTCCGGTCCCGGTACACGTCACAAACTCCGACCAAAACCAAAACCAAAACCCAAACAATCTCCCAAACTTTCTCTTATCCGTTCGTCTCAAATATGTGAAACTCGGTTACCATTACTTAATATCCAACGCTCTCTACATCCTCCTCCTCCCTCTCCTCGCCGCCACACTCGCAAATATCTCTTCTTTCTCACTCAACGACCTCACTCTCCTCTACAACCACCTCCGCTTCCACTTCCTCTCCGCCACACTAGCCACCGCACTCTTAATCTCTCTCTCCACCGCTTACTTCACTACGCGTCCTCGCCGTGTCTTCCTCCTCGATTTCTCATGTTACAAACCAGACCCTTCTTTGATCTGCACTCGAGAAACGTTCATGGACCGATCTCAACGTGTAGGTATCTTCACAGAAGATAATCTTGCTTTTCAGCAAAAGATCCTCGAAAGATCCGGTCTTGGTCAGAAAACTTACTTCCCTGAAGCTCTTCTTCGATCTCCTCCGAATCCTTGTATGGAAGAAGCGAGGAAAGAAGCCGAGACGGTTATGTTCGGAGCTATCGACGCTGTTCTAGAGAAAACCGGTGTTAAACCGAAGGATATTGGTATTCTTGTGGTGAATTGTAGTTTGTTTAACCCGACGCCGTCACTTTCTGCGATGATTGTGAATAAGTATAAGCTTAGAGGGAATATTCTGAGCTATAATCTCGGTGGAATGGGTTGTAGTGCTGGACTTATCTCCATTGATCTCGCTAAGCAGCTTCTTCAGGTAATTGATTAAGATTCTGTTTTAATTAATCTTTTTGGTTTAATCCGGTTTGATTTTATTGACTGTTTGTTTGTGAGTTGTCGTGATTCGTGGAAAATTAAAATCTAGGACTTTTTTCTTATTCGGCGTTTAAATGTTTGAAAAGGCTAACGACAGCTCATGGATTTTAATTATTAGGGACACAATTAAAGTTTGAAATATTTCCGGTTAGGTCTCACTTATTAAGCATTTAATGCAACTTTCCAACTAGATTTTTTTTTTTTTTTTTAAGATTGACTTCGCTTTCATGTCATTATTACGTGCTATAAACATGTAAGTATGACTAATTGATTCTAAACCGAATCATTTGATATTGATTCAATATTTTTATTGTATGAGTTGTATAGAAGCGCAAAGGTATAAAAGTCACGTGTCTATGAAAATTCTGACAGTGACAGGCCTTTTAGTCTTTTGGGTAGGTGGTTGTTGTGAAAATGGAAAAAACATTTGTGTTAATGATAGGACCAGCATTTTATTTTATTTATAAAAAAATATATAACACAAATCAAATGCATTTTTTCTTTCTTTTCAAATGACCATCCAATTGAAAGGATAGATCTAAAAGTTGTACATGAACATGTTACAACTACACATAATCTTTAATTTGTCACTTGATATGCCAACGTGGTAGCACGTGCATGCAAGTTTCTTAAATCTCTAAGCTGGTTGGCAAATTGAATCAAAGTGCTTATAATTGATCCAATAATTATATAAGGCTAGGCTATTTGCATACAATTACATGCACATGTTACAACTACAACAATAACACCTTCTATTTTAATTATATCATAACATTAATTTATAAGACCATTGTCAGAGTTTGTTCTTTACTTTAAGAAAAACCTTGTTTTATTTACTTATATTTGTTTAAAAACTTATCAAATCGTGACAATCATGCAGGTCCAACCAAACTCATACGCACTAGTGGTGAGCACAGAGAACATAACCCTAAACTGGTACTTAGGCAACGACCGATCAATGCTTCTATCTAACTGCATCTTCCGTATGGGTGGAGCCGCCGTACTTCTCTCCAACCGCTCCTCCGATCGCAGCCGTTCCAAATATCAGCTCATCCACACCGTACGTACCCACAAAGGAGCAGACGACAACGCATTTGGCTGCGTTTACCAACGAGAAGACAACAACGCAGAAGAAACCGGCAAAATCGGTGTCTCACTCTCCAAGAACCTAATGGCTATAGCAGGAGAAGCTCTCAAGACAAACATCACAACACTAGGACCACTCGTACTACCAATGTCCGAACAACTTCTCTTCTTCGCGACCTTAGTAGCTCGAAAAGTCTTCAAGGTCAAGAAGATAAAGCCTTACATTCCCGATTTCAAGCTAGCTTTCGAACATTTCTGTATCCACGCGGGAGGTAGAGCCGTTCTTGATGAGATTGAGAAGAATTTGGATTTGTCCGAGTGGCATATGGAGCCATCGAGGATGACTTTGAACCGGTTTGGGAATACTTCGAGTAGCTCGCTTTGGTATGAGCTTGCGTATAGTGAAGCTAAAGGGAGGATCAAGAGAGGAGATAGGACTTGGCAGATTGCTTTTGGATCTGGTTTCAAGTGTAATAGTGCTGTGTGGAAAGCTTTGAGAACGATTGATCCAGTGGAGAAGATGAATCCATGGAGTGATGAGATTCATGAGTTTCCTGTTGCAGTTCCTAGGATCACTCCGGTTTCGTCCTCGTAGATTTTTTTTTTTTTTTTTAAATTCTTTTGGAGAAATGTTTGTTATGATTTTCCCTTTTTAATGTAATGTGACTTATATTTATTATCTTAACATATTTTGATTGCATTTTTTTATCCATGTGTGTTAAAATATGAAATCTTGTGTGAGTGTGCCACGTGTTATGACAACGTGTCAATCGACAATGACACGTGGATCTTGATGCCTCGTGTCAGTATACTTGATATTTGTTAAATTGTATTTTTTGCCAGAGTTAAGGAAGATGGAGAAAACGAAAAATGTCACAGAGTTGTTTTATGTCTTTCGTCTCGACAAATCTTATGAGAGGTTCTCTATTTTTATGCTCGTCCAAGTCTAAGCCATGGTCGATACGGTTAATAGCAGCGGCAAAATCGGTTTCGTGTACTTCTAAACCGGTCAGGGGATTCATGTCCTTGACCAACTCTGTTACCCGGTTTGATTTCGTTAACCAAACCGGACCACCTGAAATCCAATTTCCCGGTGGATCTCTCTCTGAGGAAGAGCTACCTTCACGGCCTAGTAGAGGACCAGAGTGGGCCCCTTTAGAAGTTCCGGAACTTCCCAATATACCTGAGATAATCCCGTCGGAAACTCCACCAGAAGTTACGACGGTTCCTAGTGATCCACCACCGCTTGGACCGCCGCAAACTCCCGGACCTGAGTTTCCAATCCCACCGTCTCCGTCTCCACCAATGCCAGATACCCCTCCGGTGCCGGAAATGCCACCTGATGTGGTACCGCCGAACTGGGAACCGCCTCGCCCACCGGAGATTCCACCGCCAGGAATCGACCCGCCACCGCCCGGAATAGATCCGCCACCACCTATGGGGCCCACAATCATATAGCGAACCTATGTTGAACTCTCTGTTTCAGCAATTTGTTTTTACTTTTTTAGCGTATACAGCTTGTGTCTCCCAAAAGAGAATGGTTTAAATACAATCACACAAGTTTTTCATTTAAACAACAATACGCAAATATGGTACAAATAGTTGCGACTCGATGACAACGGAGACGCAAAGAACACAGAGATGTTTTTATACAAACACACATTTGGTTTTATTGGAAAGCTTCTTGATACAAACAGAAAATCTGAAACTTGTGGAACACGGACCTTTGCATTTATGCAGAAACGACAGCTTCTGAAACCCTTCCATTACCAGACTCGGCGTTGATACTGTCGTAGTAATCAACCAACACTTCCCATCCAGAAGGACACATAAAACCATCTGGTGGGTTCTCTTTCTTCTTCGCCAAGGCACGCATCTACAACAAAAACAACCATTCCATGTATGTCTTCTCAGTCACAGATCATGAATCTAGGATGTGGAAATAGAACGTAGAATCAGATTTTACCTTGGTTCCTGATATGAAGAGGAAGTCCTGAGACCTAGAAGGATCAAAGAATGCCATTTTCCCCTGAGTTTTATCATATGCAGCCACCTATGCAGATAAAATCCAAAATCCATCAGACTTTCAAACTATTCAAGAAATCTCAGATTGAGAGGAAAGTATCAACGAACGTTTCAAACCTTAAAGGGAAGAATGTTGAGCCGTTCGAGTCCCGGTGCCATGCTAAGTACTTTCTTCCCGTGATCAGCGTCATACAGATCCCTCTTCTCTATCGGATGGCCCATACCGGCTGGATCGCGGCCAACGATGTAGAAATTGGCTCCCGCGTTGATCCTAGCTTTGGCGTGCCACTGAACCTCCGTGGGACCAGCATAGTGCATTGGAGATGGGAAGATGGAGACCACAGTGGTCTCTGGGTCCAAAACACCATCCTCAAGCACCTAAAATGATCAAATCAAGAAACAACAATTCAACATTTTCAATCCATCAAAATCTAAAAATCATCCTAAAAGTTAACTGCTCTGTTTCAGTTGGAAGATGAACGCTTTGTATCATATAAATCCATTATCCTTGAGTTATCTTAATGATAAACATACCTAAATGAACAAATCAAGAAACAGCAATGTAACATTTTCAATCCATATGCAGCAAAAAAACATCATTTCTCTGTTTTAGATGGAAGAAGAACGCTCTGTTTCAAATAAATCTTAATGATAAACATAGTTTCTTGGAAGAGAAGGAAGCTAAAAAGTAAGGGCTTTTTTTTTATAATTAATATTACCTTTTCGTGCTGCCTCATACGCCAGCTTAGAGGTACATCATCGGCTTTAGTGAATCCGCCAAGTGGATTCAGCAACAAGACTGGGTTCTTGTAACCCATCTCAAGAAGTCTTCTGCGAGTATCGGTCATGAGAAGCGCGTGGCCGTTGTGCACCGGGTTCCGAAGCTGGAAGGCGAAAACCGCGTCGGCGTCGCGCCGTGTGAACTCGTCACGGAGCTGAGACGGAGATAAACGGAACCGGTCGAGACCGTCGTTGTACTTAATCGGCTCAAGGACCTGTAAATCACCTCCGATCAACCAGTTTCCTGATTTGGTGATTGCTTCTTCTGCGTAAGGAAGACCTGGAGCTGTTGTTCCCCAGGTTCTAGCTATACGTTCTTCTTTTGGGTGCTTGTAAATCTCGATGCTGGCTCAAAGACAGAATTAAAATCAGTTTCGTAAAGATCTAATCTAAAATCAGAAATCAATTGAGAAATTTCACGAATTAGGTTCTTATGTTCACGAATTAGATTTCAAGAATCATGTACGATTTTGAAGTGAAATCAACAAATTAGGTTCTTATATGCATAGCTCCGATCGAAATCAACAAATTATAATCGAGAAATTTCACTAATTAGGTTCTTATGTTCACACATTTGATGCTGTGAATCGCAGAGGTTTTCGAGATTTTGATGTGAAAATTCAAATCAAAAGGGACTCACTCGCTGAGAATGGCGATCGGGTTACCGAGCGAGTCAACGAGCGTGACTCGGTCAGAATCGCCGATGCGAATCTTCTGCTCGTCGTCGATGGCGAGCACGATCGGGACCGACATGTTGACGACGGAGCCGTCTTCGAGCCGGATCGAGTTGAAATGAAGTGTTTGGAGGAACTCGGACTGTCTCATGAAACCACGGAGCGGGCTTGCCCAGCCTTCGCTGAGCACGTGTACCCACTCCAGATCCACACGATCCAGCCTGATCCTTACGGGAACCGTCTCCGCCTCGCGTTTCATCGCGCGCCGCCGCGATTCCTCGACGACAAGGTTCATGAGCTTTCCTCCGTCGGGCTCGATTAAAGCCGATTTCACGGCGAGACCGAGGCGGGAAGAAGCTTTCCAGCGAAGGAGAGAGACGGAGGCGGATCCAGGGGAATAACGGGAAACACGATGGTTGTGGAGAGGTGAAGATCGAATAGGAGAATCGGAGAAGACGGTGGCGGCGGCTGAAGAAGCCATTGAAGGCCGTATGATTAAATCAAAACTGGTTTTTGCGTCTCTTAAGAGTACATTGATTTATAAAAAAACACGTACAATTAGTGGATCCGTGATGAATTAGGACTATATATTATACATCAATAATAATTGAAAATAATAATGAGTGGATAATGAATGGACATTGGTGTAATAACGTTACTACTTGATGTGTCAATTAGCACCTAATATACCATTCGTCCCACCAGCAAATCTATTATTACATTTGATTAGTCCATTTTAAAGACAGCATAACAACTATTTAAATTTTTCTTTTTAATTCCGAGTAGAGACAAGGTTTGTTGTGAAAAGATTTTAAAAATAACTAAAGAAATGGGATATTTTTCAACCATCTATATTAATAAAACTATTTTTGTAATAGTTTTGGGATACACGTATCGAGTTGTCGTGGGATTAACGTATTTTATAATAAACAAGTTGTTAAAAAAGACAGACCCATATGATTATTTGGTATAATTGCATTAATTAATAGTACTAATCCCTGGAGATTTATTAACACGCTGGACTTTCATAAGTTCGCGGGTTTTCTCCACGTCAGCCCAACGGTTAACTCCAGCATAAATATTCGACAAAAGCACATAGTTTCCGCTGTTCTCCGTTTCTAACCCCAACAAATTCTTTAGCGCAATTTCACCCCTCTCCAAGTCATTGTGGATTTGAGCTGACCCAAGAAACGATCTCCACAACATCGCATTAGGCTTCATCGGCATCTTCTTGATGCATTCTTCAGCTTCTTCCAACCTCCCGGATCGGCCCAATAGATCAACTAAACATCCGTAGTGCTCAACTTTAGGCTCAATCTCGTAAACCGCTTTCATTGAGTCGAAAATCTCGAGACCCTCGTCGACTAAACCCGAGTGCGAACAGGCGGATATCGTCACCACGAAAGTCGCATCGTCCGGGATTAATCCGTGTGAGATCATGTCTTTGTAAAACTCGATAGCTTCCTGGCCAAACCCGTGAACTGCTAAACTTCGAATCATGGCATTGTAGCACGACGTGTCTCTCTCACGCATTTCGTCGAACACTTTGCGTGCGAAACTCAGACATCCGCATTTCGAGTAGAGATTGATAAGAGAAGTTCCGATAAACTCGTTAAGAGTCAGATTATTCTTCAGTAGATAAACATGAGCCCATGCTCCTCCGTTGAATTCACCCAGATTCGCACAAGATTTGATTAAAGCTACAAGAGAAACCTCGTTAGGTTTCACAAGGGAGCTCCTTTGCATATTAACGAACAATCGCAAACCCTCCTCGGATAAACCCATATCAATCTCACTTTCTCCGTCGCCGGAATTAGCGTACGCAGCTAAAAGGGTGTTCCAAGTGGCTGAATCAGGTTCGCTAATTCGATCGAACAGAGATCTAGCTGCTCTCAATTTCCCGCAATTGGCGTAGAACCCAACAAGAGCAGCTTGCACAAACCGATCGTGATTAACCGGTTCGATGAGTTTCAACACATGGGCATGAAGAGCTCGTCCATGGCGATGCCACCGAGGGTCAAAGCCGGAGGCTTTGAAGAGAGAAGGATAAGTGAATTCGTTGGGTTTCGAAATCTGAGCGTATAGAGAAAACGCGAGATGGGTTTGAGTCGATTTGTGGTTGGAGACGATGGAGGAGATGAGAGTGTTGTAGAGGAAGACGGAAGGGTTAGAGATTCGGCGGAAGATAGAGAGTGCGTAGGATAAGCAGACGGTGGAGGATAAGAGAAGGAGCTTGCTGAGAGGAAACGTGTGGTGAGAGAGGCCGATTGTGAGGAAATGGGCATGGATTTGTTTGAGATTTTCTAGGGTTTTGCATTTTGGTATTAGGTTTAAGCATCGATGATTGTTGCTTGTGCTTGGAGATGTCATATGCAAAAAAGTTAAAAGTTGTTTCTGCTTTTCCCAATTTCTCTCAATTTTGAAATTGACAAGAGGAGAGATCAAATCAGTTTTGAAGTTTGAAGACTACAGGCCCAATTGAATTACTTATTATAATCCTTATTGGGTTTCATTAATATATATGGGCCCATGTTATCCTTTTTTTTTGTTTTCAAAGATATTCAAGATGGCGTCAAGTATTAGCTACGAGCCAGTGTTGCAACCAACAATCAAAAAAGTATAAGGCAGTTCGAATTGGTTCTACTTCAGTTTGGTTTCACTAAATTCGTTTCGAATAAACGGATTTGGTGACATCCGATAAAATTAGAATGATATAGAGCTGATTTGGTTTGATTAAAAAAAATGTTTATATGATTTTGAATGATGGCAATGAACATGGCATATTAACTTGTTTGGGGGAAATGACTGCGTTTTGTTCGTTATTGAATTTTGGCATTTGTGGAGACATATACCAAACATGTTTCTTTTTTGTTCATCATTGCAAATCCTTTTTATGAAGAAAAAAATTTGGTCTGAAATGTATTATTGTCTGCTCCAAAGAGACAATAGTCCAATTGGCAAAGTGATTAGTCCAATGAATCCCATCCTCCACAATCATCTAAAACCAGTGTATGTATTTTTAAGTTTGGTTTAGTTTTTTTGTTTTTTCTTTGGTTTGATCTTGATAACTTCAATTTTAGAAAAATGAAGAAGCAAGTAAAGGTCTCTTTGGAACACATCAAAGTTTGTCCCTACAACACGACAATCACACCTTTTCTCATATCCAATAAATAAGAAAAATCATGCATTATAATATCTTCTTTTTATCTTGGTTTATTCTTTTTATAAAACATCTATGCAGATGTGAGACTGATAATTCTTTTTGAATACCTTTAGTGAAAATCATGCATCAAATCCTCTTCACTATAGTGCATCTCCACACATGACCCAATAAATAAATTAAATAAAAGAGAGCAATTCTCCATCGCTAATTAATACTCAAAACCTCTGTTCATGTATTCTTTAACTATTTGCCTCAAAATAGAGATCATATCCAAAATAGATATCCCTAACCATTATTGCTGAAACGACTGAATAATCATAGCGTTAAACATATATTCACGTAGTCGTATTTACAGAAAAATAATGATTGGATCTTAACGTTTCACCGTGTTGGGAGATGTAAATCGTAAACATAGTCTCAGGGCCATGATACTCGGTGTTTTCTTGACATTTCAAAGATTAAGTTAAAAGAATATTGTGTAAAAAATTCAAAAAGTAAACATCATATCATTTCGTTACAAACCATCCCATGTACTAATTCAATAGTGCGTTGCTCAAAGACAACTATACGACAAAGCCTGGATTTTTCTCACCATTTGATAAATAATTTATATATCTAATTTTTTGGGCACTTTCAATTTCATTTTTACTTTAAATAATGTTTTGATGATTTATTTCGTCTTTTTATAAAACTTGTTCAAAATTTTGGGAACAGAAGTGCACTTTGTGGTGCTTTTCACAAATAAAAAAGTAAAAATAGGACTAAGATCAGAGATGATAAAAAAGACAGAGCTTCTGTAAAGTAACTTGTATCAGTTTTATACTTATATTTAATTTACTTTCTGGGTTCTATCTCTATGCTTTTCAAATTTACAACAAATCATAGAATCCAATTTTTTTTTTTTTTTTTTACAACAAATCAATGAATGTAGTTTGATTGCAATTCCCAAACTATGCGCTATGCATGTATCCATAATATATCTATATAGTTGGCGACTGTAGCAAGATAATTTTTTTCTTCGACAGCAAACAATTAAAAGATGTAAAATAGAACAAGTAAGGGCAATTTTTGATAACGAATAAATAAACTGGAAAAAAACTGTTTGAAAAGTATCCGTTGATATAGAGTTTTACAAAGTTATTATTTAAAAAAAAAAGGTAGTGAAGTGGTAATAAACACAATATTTACCTTTTATTTGTTAATCTTCAAAAGCAAAAGCTAAAGGAGTGACAGAAAAGCTATAGTGGCAGATTATACACCGTTTTAGGCCAACTCTGACATCTTTAAATATTTTTACTCTTCCCATTTACTTTTTTTATCTCTTCTTTTTATTTTTGTTCACACTGTAAATTTACTGTTATCATGCATTAAACATAGCAATTACTTCATGATATTATTGACCCGCTGATAAAAAAGTAAATTTGTAGTTTTTTTGTTAATAGAGAATGTAAAGTTATGAAGTCGGAAAAAATATTTATAAGTAGTTAAATAATCAATTTAAACTTTTATGCGTTCAACAGATCATATTTTAAATTGAATTAGATTTGGATTATAGATGAGTAACGGTATTTGTATAAATCGTTATAGTTCTAATCCAGTTTAACTATTTTTTTACTACACATTTCCCCCTCGTCTATTACTGAATCTTCCATGTAACCTTTTCAATCGATATATTGATAGAAAGAACATACATGTTATATATAACTCAGAGCCTTAGATTTAGAAATTACAACTTAGTCTAGTGAATTAAAAATCCGTAAATAAATAAAACAAATTTACCCCAACGTCCAAGATTTATCGTGCTTGTCAAGTGTGAACTTTCCAAGAAGTAATAAGAAATTAGAGCACCCATAAAAAGATATGGAATTTCCCCCAAAGTTTGCTTTAATGATAGATTAAATGTCTATTTTGTCGTTTTCAAGATTTAATAAACAAATTAAGATAAGAAACATGGTAAATGTAAACCAAACAATTTTAATTTACATTAGAATGTTCATTTTTCTTATAATCATAACTTTTGCGGTTAATATGTTTTTATTTATATTTATTGGCCGATTTTTCATTTCTAAACTTCTCCTTACCAGTTCAACAACACGTACAATTCTTCTTACAAATACTAGAATATAATTGTTAAAAAAATGCTAGCAACGCATATAGACTAAGGTATTGTTATATGAAACTTTTATCTTTTATATAAACAAGTAAAATCCCGGGTTTTGTCAACTTGACTGATTAAACTAAACAATGTTTGTTGACAAAAATAAATTTACAATGATTAAAAGTCACACGCGTGCATTAAGCATGATAGCCATAGGAACCCCATCGAAATTCTGGCAAGAAAATATTTTGTTCTGCCAACTAAATTAAAAATCGAAGAATCAAAGAAAATTGAGGTTGATATGGTTTTCAATCGTTACAGAGATCAAATGGAAAACAATTTTTTTTTAAAAAAAGCAGAATTATGTATATTTCTGTTTTATTCATAGTTTTAATATAGAATAAGTAATTAATAACAAAAATAAATGACTTATGCTTAGAATATATATATATATATATATATACAATTTAAAACTAGAAAATCTGTTAAAAATACCAAATCACTTGCAAATTTATTTTTTAATATTTTTATTAGTTAAAATTAGTTGTGATAGATATAATCTGAACATATTCTGTTTTATCTGTATAATATGTTTGATTTGCAGTTTTGATTTGTATTATAATAGGTTTTGAATGGATACATAAATCAAATGCAGAATAAATGCAGATTTAAAAAAAAAAACAGAATTATTTACATTTATGTACCATTCACAGTTTTAATGCATGACAAATCATATATATAATTAGCCAAATCTCTCTCTATCTAATGTGTTCACCTCAATAATATTTAATTTTTAAAATGGGTTTTTAAATATTTTAAATTTTGCTTTTCAGTTTTTGTCTTTTGGGTATTTATTTTTGAGCTTTCAATATGATTAATTTGAAATGAAAAACAAATACTTATTTTACAAGTCATAAAAATTACAAATTTTCTATCTGTAAAAAAGAATTTAGAAGGCAAACACATACAAAAGATAATGAAATAACTTACAGAAAATAATTCTCAAGTTTTTTATAAACAAAAAAAATCTTAAAAAAATTTATGTATAAAAATAAAGTAAAACCATTCATAAAACAATGTTTATTTCAAAAACCATAAAAACATCAATTTTCTATGAAATAAAAAATTCAAAATTTTATATTGAATATAAATAAATAGAATGTGAAAAAGAGTTGCAAAATGAACAATTACGAAAGATGACATAAGAACTTGCAAAGAATTGTTATCAAAATTTTAAAAACAAATATCAGAAAGATTAATGCATAAAATAAAGTAAAATCATTCATATCTACTTTACTGTGTAGAAGAATTTTTTTTCATGAATAAAAAAATAAAATGTTTAATTATGTAGTATAGAAATAAGTTTGATTTATACAAAGAGAAAAAAGGGTAAATACTTATCAACTATTTTTTCTTAACGATGGCAATGTAAAGTTGATATTTGATGAGTTACTTAGCCAGATAATTTATGAATTTTAATATGAAGTGTATAAATATACTAAAACAAAATTATTGATTTTTTTTTAACAGAGTCAAGTTGTTTACCTCCACATGACATGAAAATAGACAAATATATTTTCACACAGATGCAAATATAGTTAGATAGTTCATCATCGTCAGATAGATGAACACATCAGAATTGCTTTTAAAAAAAGACAAATGCCTCAAATCAATTAAAATCAACAGTTTATCAAGTAGGGATAATTTTTTTTTTACAAACCTAACAAGCCTATGTAACATATGAACAAATCTCTTGTTCTGTCTCGCCAACTCTAACTTCAATTCACCTAATTTATAGTAACAACCAATCACATAATTGAATGAAACGGAAGCTTGCATGAAATAAGAGAAAATATTAATGATTGTAATCAGAATAATAAAACTATAAGAGCAATAGGAAAGGGAGAAAAACAATGAATGATTATTTGTGCTTGAAAATGAGTTAGATTTGATAAAATTCCGATAAAAAAATTGAGAGAACATTTTAGTTTAGAGTGGGGAGGGGTCGATAATGATTTCACTTTATTAATATATGAAATAAACTGTAGAAAACAATCGGAAACTAATTGAATACATTTAAATAATTATGTCACATATAATATTTATTGCAGTGTATAATAAGAGATTTTTTAATAATTAATATAATACATTATAATCTATACTAAATAAAATTTTATAATACAACATATATTGGAAAAAAAATTA